AAAAAGAAAGAACAACAATAATAGAAATAAAAAAATAATCAATGCATCCAGGTAATTCTGTTTTAAGTGGCGGTACCCCCCTTTCGATTACTTTCATCTCCAACAAAAAATAAAAATAAAAATAGAAATAAAAAAGAGGAAGAATTTAAAGAAAAAAACAAAGGATAGTGAAAGGAATCAAGAAGAAGAAAAACGAAATAAATAAATAAATCGATCGATCGATCGATCGATCAATCAAAAAAAAAAAAAAAGAAAAAGAAAAAGTCGTTCACGTGTCCTACGAAATATTTCAAAAGGTTGCGAAATTTTCTTATCCATGATTGATTAATTGTTTGCGATTAGTAAAAACTATTCGGGGTTTATCTAAAAGATATATAGAAAGAGAAAGAAAGAAAGAGAGAGAGAGAGAAAGAGGGATAGAGAGATAGAAAGAGAGAGAGAGAGAGAGAGAGAGAGCATAAAATATCCTCTTAATTGATATGCAAGCTTCAAAAGCTCTACCGAATGAGCTATCGCGGTACTAAACTAAAATTACTTTTCGGAGGTTCAAGGATGCTTGTTAATAAAAAAAATATTAATATATATATATATCTATATAATACTAATAGAGAAAATTAATTACTTGATACATTTCCAAAAGAAACTAACAATCATTTATTATATTTTCTACGATATTTTGTCATTCATATAATATGAAAATTATAACGAAAATAAATTAATAGATCATAGGTTTAGTAAATAGTTTTGGTTGATTAACTAACTAACTACATCTTTTTTTCTGTTTTTTATTTTATTTTATATATTTTTAAAAGCAAAAGCACTATATTATAATAAATGCTATGCAATAAACACGTTAATGTTTAATGTTAAAATTGTATTTCTATATAAATATGTATGTATATGTATCATCGTTTATAATAATGTTCTTTTTTTTAAAAAAAAAAAGAGAAACAAATTTCTATCTTTTTTTTCTTTCTTTCTTTTTTTTCTTCCTTTCTTTTTTTTAAATATCGCGCCTAATTAATGAAATTATTTCTATACGTATGGAAAAATATTTTGCGTTATACGAAAAAAAAAAAAAAAAAGTAGAAGAAGAAAAAGAAGAAGAAGAAGAAAAAAAATAAAATAAAATAAAAAGGAATGTGTAATCGTTTGAAAAAAGCGATGATATTATTATATGCGATAATTATGATAATTATAATCGCTTTCTAAAAGGAAATAATAATAATAATAATAATTGTCGTTGTCGTTTTACGGATGCTGCATTTTTTTTTGTTCTTTTTCCACGAGTTTATCGCCATTTAAAACGTCGGAGTTTGATTTATCCGCTTGCGACAATTTCGATTAAAATAAGTCAACGCGCGTTAGTAGAAAAATTTCGTGTAATGAGATAGGAATGAGGATAAAGGAAAAAAAGAAAGGAAGAAAAAGAAAAAAAAAAATAGGAATTTTGCAACAAGCTACAAAGTTCGATACTCGAACGAAGTTCCCGTTGTTTGATCTTTTCCTTTTTTTTTTTTTTTTTTTTTTCGTTATCTTCCAAGAAATTGTTCTCCCTTGACGTGTGTCAGTCTCGTATATCAATGGTAGTAACATATTCACTATAAGGAATAAGAATCCAGATAATTCTCAAGAACACATTGGTGGCGACACCGAGTAAGGAAAAAACAGAGAGAGAAAGAAAAAGAAAAAAAGAAAAAAAAGAAAAAGGTAACCTCTTTGATCAGATACAACCATAATTCTCCAGTGAGTAATATAACATAGTTTGATAAAATGAAAAAGAAAAAAACCAAAAATCAATCGGACCGTTTTAGGACAAGACTAATATTCCAAAAAAAAAAACTTCGACCAGTAATCTTCTAAAACACATCGCAAAAGTGTCATAATAATACAATAAAACATCGTATAGTGTAGATCCACTGTGAGAAGGGACGAGAGAGAGGGAAAACAAGATTAAAGGAGAAGAAGAATAAGAAAAAACAAAACAGAGGAATGTTAGTGGTGTTGGTGTTAGAAAGACAGGGTTATTATGGGGTGGAAAAAAAGGACAGATAGATAGATAGATAGATAGATAGATAGATAATAGATATAGACAGATAGACAGATAATATTAGTATTATTAGACAGAAGGAATTGGGTAATAAAAAAAAAAAAAAGATAAAAGAGGCCCCAAAAGACGTCTCTCTCGGATAACGTTAAAAAAAAAAGAAAAAGAAAAAAATTAAAACGTACCTTACAAGCAACTCCCGTAGAGTAGCTTCATCGTCCTCCTGTATCTCTTCCTGCGTCTCATTACTGACAAATCTTGATCTATGTTGATGATGATGCCTGCTGACGTTGATCGGCCTGGTATTGGTGGTGGTCCCAGTTCCGGCCGGATATTGGCTGTGCAATCCGTGATGATGGTGGTGATAATGTTGGCCGGTATTGGTACTGGCCGAACGTATATAATGAGCAACGGTGTTGCTATTGGTACGGCTTCTCGAGGTCAGCTTGAGACCGGTTGCAGGAGGTGGTTGTACCGGTCCTCCTGTACCGGACTCCACGTAACTCCTGCGCACGGCATTCTGCACCTCCTCCACCCTGCTATTGATAATTTTCCTTTCGTTTGATGACGATGGCCTGTCGGCCGATCTACTACGAGACCTCGAGTCGCCTATGGTGGTTATGGTGGTGGTTGTAGTTGTAGTGGTAGGAGGGGTAAGGATACTTGTACAACAAATATTTTCTTTTGTATCGTGATATCTCCACCAACCTCTGTTAGTTCTACTGATATTTATTATTTCTTCTTGCCTCCTCCTCCTCCTCCTCCCCTCTTCCTCCTCCTCCTCTTCTTCTTCTTCTTCTTCGTCCTCTTCTTCTTCCTCTTCTTCTTCCTCTTCCTCTTCTTCCTCCTCCTCCTCTTCCTCTTCCTCTTCCTCCTCCCCAACGACAGCGGCCCCCACCGGCCCTGTCTCGATATCCTGGGACCCCGAAAGGCCCGAAATCTCCTCGTACAAGTATTCCGAATCCGGATCCGTTGGTACTGCCACGCTCTGCCACAACTGATTTATTGGCTTGAAGCCGCGTGGATCGGCCATCGTTTGGGCTGCTTCAATTGTAGGGCCCAGGACAGAGAGAGAGAGAGAGAGAGAGAGAGAGAGAGAGAGAGAGAAAGAGAGAGAGAAACACACACATAGTAGATCCATTGGTTGTTTATTATATCCTTTTTGATTTTTTTTCTTTTTTTTTTTTTTTGGTTTTCCCGCGATGGTACTTTTTTAAAAATCATTTTTTTGTGTACTCGTAGTTTAATAATATTATTTGAATGATTAACAAAACGTTGCGAGAATCACTTTAAACGAAATATTTCTTAACTTTCTTATTTGTTGATTGATGACTTTTTTATTTTTTGTTTTTCTTTCATTTCCCACAATGGAACTTTCAACAAGGACCATCGCGGTTTTTGCATTATCAAACATTTAACTCTAACACACACGTGTGTCGTTAAAATGTATACAAATAAACTCGGATGAAAAAGGATATTTGATTAAAAAAAAGATAAAATCGAATAATTTGTTACGTATCGTATTGTTGTTAATACGCGCGTTTATAAAATGGTATTATTATCGTTAATCGTTTGGGTTATATGTTTTTTTTTTGTTTCCTTACCTTTTTAAACGAACTCTTTTTTTTTTTCTTTTTCCTCTATCGGTGTATATATTTTTTTATATATATATATATATATAGGTACGTGTGTAAATGTATACAACGATAGGTGCAATTAATTCGTGAAAATAACTTGTTAGAATAATAAAACAGACAAGGGAAACCTAAGAAAAAAAAAGAAAAAAAAGAAGAGAAGGAGGAGGAGGAGGAGGAAATTGATTAGAAAATAAGAGAAGAAAAAGAAAAAAAAAAGAAAAATATAAGAAACAAAGAGATAGAATTATTTATCAATTCGCGCGCGCAGAAAAAAAAAACAACAACTTGTCGTATAAACGGAATTAGTTTCGTAATAATTGTCGTGTTCAAATTTGTCAAGCATAAACTGACAAGTATTACGTGCACAACGGTTGTTTTCTTTCTATATCTGTTGATAGCGTGTTTGAATAATTTTGAATGTTACTTCAAAATATAAGAGTTTTCAATTGTTACCATAGTTAAACGAGCAACAAATTGGTATGCTCGAAAATAAAGGGACAATTGATGTCACGTTTTCGAATTAAAGTTATACGCGAATAAGAAAATATAAAAAGTGATAACAGTGTTTGTTTATACTGCAAAATCATACCGCAGTAATTAATATGCATCAATGCAATGCAATGCAATGCAATGCAATTTAAACGCAATTTTTCTTATGACAAATCTAACGCCACTTTGGTAATTTTTTCTTTGTTTTTTTTTTCTTGTTTTTATTAACACGTTTTTTTACGAGATATATACTTTTTTAAATATTAATAATGTTGTTGGATAAACAAAATATTACGATTAAATAATATTCGTTTGAAAAAATAAACGTAATAATAATAATAGTAATTGGAATAAAATTGTAAACAGGAGTTGATGTAAAAATAAACTGAATAAATGAATAATTTATATGTGTGTTCTCAGACATATATAATTATCCATTTCTCGATAATAAGTATTATTTGTGTAGTGTTATTATCTGTGTGTGTGTATGTGTGTATTTATATATATATAACTAACTCGTTTTACAAAATTCAATCGAATCGAATGATATGTATTTTTAATAGCGATACCTTATTAAAATGTTTACGTGTGGTTAATAATGGAAAAAACAATGGTATATTAAAATCATGAAAAAAGATTTTAAAATAACAAAGATAATATTCGACGGTAATAAAGAAGATAATCAACACGCGAAATTATTATCAAGATATCGTATCAGCGTAATAATTTATTGTTATATCAACGAAAAAAATCCAACTTCCTCGTAATTTTCTAAAGAAATGCATTATGATGCAATTATCTATGTAGTTTTTTTTTTTCTTTTTTTTTTTATTGGAAGAAATCACTTTAATAATAATACTTCTTATACTTATATTTAATTAATATTTTTGTAATAAGTATATTTTATATAAAATAAATACTTTTGTAAGATCGTTTTAGAAAAAAAGGTATCATTAGATTTAAATTTCGAGAAGCTTTTATGGGGTTTTATTTTTTTTTTTTTGAAGATACGTGTAACTATGTAAAAAAAAAAAAATACTTTTATCTCGAGAAAATATTTGACTTTATCTATGAACATGCCATAGGATAAAAATCACATGGATTTTCTTATCCCCGTTTTTTTTTTCTCAAAAATTATGTGTCACGCCTAATCTTAAAAAAATATTGTTTATCGGTTGTATGGGAAACGTGGTCGTTACGTAAAAAAAGACCAATCGTTTTCCGTTATATTTTGTATGCAATAATTATTGCAACGAGAATAACAATAAAACAAAAATATATCAAAAAATGATCGTCGAGATTTAATAGTAATACATAATATACGTGTGTGTTAAATAAAAATTCAAAACTTTATA